GCCTGGCACCAATGATCTTTTCTCCAGTCCTGACTGTCCGCTGGAGTTTCTTCCTGTCTGGTTTGGCTCTGCAATCAAGCAGAACAGGAATAAAACGTACTCGTACTTAAATAGAGACCTGTATGAATCTGTACAATGTATATTTACAGGTATTGTACTGAGAGTTATTCTCCAGTCATACTGTCATACTGTCGTGGGTCAAGTGTTCATCAGAGTGACAGCCTGGGGGAACAAACTGTCCTTGTGCCTGGTTGTCTTGGTGTACAGTGACCTGTAACGCCGTCCAGAGGGGAGGAGTTTGAACAGAATATGTCCTGGATGTGAAGGATCTGCAGTGATCCTCTCCGCCCTCCTTTTGACCATGAGGTGTACAGGTCCTCCATGGATGGCAGGCTTGCACCAATAACCTTTTCTGCAGTCCTGACTGTCTGCTGAAGTCTGTACTTGTCCTGTTTGGTTGCTGAACCAAACCAGACAGTGATGGAGGTGCAGAGAACAGACACAATGGTTCATCTGTAGAACTGTATCAGCAGCCCCTGGGGCAGGTCAAACTTCCTGAGCTGGCGCAGGAAGTACATCATCTGCTGTGCCTTGTTGATGATGGCACTGATGTTGGACGACCACTTCAGGTCCTGGGAGATAGTGGAGCCCGGGAACTTGTAGAACTCTACTGCTGGTACAGTACTGCCAAGTATGGTGAGGGCGGTAAGTTGGGTGGGTTCTTCCTGAAGTCCACTGTCATCTCCACTGTTTTGAGCGTTTTCAGCTCCAGGTTGTTGCAGCTACACCACAGGACCACCTGCTCAACCTCCCATCTATAGGCTGACTTGTCACCATCTTGGATGAGACTGATGATTGTAATATCATCAGCAAACTTTAGGTGCTTGACAGAAGGGATCCTTTGAGATGCAGTCATTGGTGTAAAGTGAAAACAGCAGAGGGGAGAGCACACATCCTTGAGGGGTGCCTGTGCTTATTATCTGGGTGGTGGATATGGTTTTCCCCAGCCTCGAGTGGAGGATGTCTGGGATGATGGTGTTGAATGTCGAGCTGAAGTCCACAAAGTGCATAGGTCCCTGTTGTTTGTCAAACCTGCAGTAGAACACATTCAGGTTGTCTGCTAGTTGACGGTCCTCCACAGCAGGGGGGAGGGTTTTCTATAGCCAGTGATGCTTTTCAGGCTCCCCCACACAGATGAGGGGTTGTTGGCTGAAACCTGAGCTTTCAGCTTTTCAGAGTAGCTCCTCTTTGCTGCTCTGATCTCCCTTGTCAGTGTGTTCCTGGACTGGCTGTACAGAGTCCTGTTTTCACTTCTGTAAGCCTCCTCTTTGGCACGACGAAGCTGCTTGAGTATTACTGTGAACCAGGGCTTGTTGTAGCATGTGCAGAAGGACTTGTTGGGCAGGCACACATCCTCACAAAAGCTAATGTAAGATGTCACAATGTCAGTGAGTTGGTTCTGTAGCTGCAGTCTCAAATACACTCCAATCTGTGTAGTCAAAGCAGGCCTATAGCTCTGACCTAACATGCTCAGTCCAGCTCTTCACTGTTTTGACCACAGGTTTTGCAACTTTAAGTTTCTGCCTGTAGGTTGGAATAAGATGGACTATACAGTGATCAGAGCTTCTGAGGGCTGTGCGGGGGACAGAGTGATGAGCACCTTCTATTGCTGTGTAGCAGTGGTCCAGTGTGATTTTGTCCCTGGTGGGACAGGTAACGTGCTGTCTGTATTTGGGCAGTTCTTGCAGCTGTGCGTCAGATCAGAATGTCCAAACAGCATTCTGTGTTTACAAAAATTGGAGAAACTCATTGTGAGTTGTCCAGTATTTAACAGTTCTTCTCTGGTAAAAGTAATCCGGTATGGGTTGCAAGAGACTGGTGTTTTTCTTTGTTTTCTCAAACATGAGAGCTTGTTTAACCAAATCTTAACATTTAAATGGAATGAAAATACTCAGCTGTAGCCCCACTCCTCACATGTCAGACAATTGATGTATTTTGCTATAAGCATTTCAAAGTAATAATCTTTTTAAATGTTAAAATATTTTTCAATTAGAAATTATTCCTTGTATACTACATTAAAAGAAGTTTCTATACATAGTCCATACAATAGCAGCAATAACTGTTGTATAGCAATTGCCTGTTTGTTGTTCTGTCTTTTTTATTCTTTATAAATGACATGAATTTTGTTTAGACCATCATTTCCTGTGAAGAATGAAGTAAAATATCATCTGAAAGGCTAATTGACTTTTGCCTCTTGTTTTCAGGCTGTCAACACTAGGGAGCACCAGAAGAACCACAAACGCCTGAGTCTGCAGGCATGCTTCACAGATGCTCAGCAATGTATTAAGGACCAGAAGCTCAACAACCCATGCCTGTCCTATTGAACACACATGCACACATGGAAGAGATCCAGACACAAATATTGTAACTGTGTGTGTCTGAGACCAGTCCTGTAAGTGTACACACTGTGTTGAGTTTAGAGCACTGTGGAGCCAAGGGCTTAAGCCAAAGACTATGGTTCAACTGTCCACCTCATTCTTCCTGCTGGGAGCCCTGCTGGGTAAGAGACATCTACAGTACATATGTGTGTCTTTGAGAGTGTGTGTGTGCATGCACGCTTGATATCACTCACACTCTGGGGACCAAAACCTGCTTACAGACTTGACCCTCTTTGCAGGGACCAGATGCTGGTCCCCCACTATGTCATTTTAGGCTGACAACATAGTTTAAGATGAGGTTAGGGTTAGGCAAGTAGTGGTTATTGTTTGGGGTTAAGGTAGGTCTCCAGGAAACGACTGTAAGTCAGTTTTTGGGTTAGGTCCGTAAGAAGGATAAAAACAACATATGGGTGTGTGTATGTTGGCCCATGCTACTGCATTTGATGCTGAGGTGGTTATTCTAATACTTGTTCATGTGCATGTGCACTGTACATGATGTGGAGTACAAGAAAATGTTTATGTGAAGGTTGTGAAACAGACTTGATGATTGTGTGAAAGATGATGAAAGAGCAAAAATGAGATGAGCACATTGTCTGTTTCATTGGCTTTCTCTTACGCTGACTCACAGGGCTATATTTTCATGCTTGACTGACAGTTTTTTTTCCATCACACGCACACTTGATATTTTGGTAACTAATAATGTGCTAAAATGGAGAAGACTGACCTGACTGCAGTGTCCATTATTACCATGTTTTATACCTACACTCACTGGCCAGTTTATTAGGTACACCTGTACAGTTGTATGCACTTCAGTGCATCACTTCCACCTTAACATCTGTGTTTATGAAGGTCAAAAGTTAAGTTTAATTTTTTGGTAAAATGGTCATAAATGTATAAATTCAATTCTATGTTTATTATTGAGGTCATAGTTAAAGGTGGTGTTGTACTGGACTACATTATATTTAGAGGTGTTCCTAATATTCTGACCCTCTCATATATGTATCTGAGAAGGACAAGTATCTAGAGGCACAGCAAAGTACAGTTTAAACCTGACAAGGCTAATAATGCCAGCAAAGCATCATTGTATAGATTAATTACACACTGGTAAGATGTCCTGTAGGAAGCATTATTTCAGGAATGTGAATTCCTGCACCTGCAGGTGATAGAAAGAGTTTATGTGTGTTTCATTCACAGCATCTAATTTGAGGGTGTTACACAGTGTCAATGCCCAGTGCATTATACATGCTGCATCAAATGTGATAAGTCTTGCACAGCCAACAGCAGACAGTTGCAAAAGTTACCACACACACTGAAAAAAAGGATTTGTTGGATTTACTTGATTGTAACGTGTACATCGTTCCCACACAATGATAATGTGTAAAACCAACATAATTTTCTTTAGGGGTTAACTTGTTTGAATTATGTTAACAGAGGAAATATGAATGAATTGCATTGCATATACTAGCATAATTGGAGTAAATCCAAAGACCCGGTGAGTCCTTTTTTTCAGTGCAGTCTTTTTTAGACTAGCAAGTTATAAGTCAGCATGTAAATGGAGCTGCACAAGTTGTCGAGCAGGTGATATGAAGCAATGTGCTGGATTTATACTGAGACTGAATTACACACAGGTGGACTCTATTTACTAATTATGCGACTTCTGAAGGCATTTGGTTGCACTGGATTTTATTTAGGGATATATAAGTAAAGGGGGCTGAATACATATGCACGCCACACTTCTCAGATTTTTATTTGTAAGAAAAATATTGTTTTCCTTCCACTTCACAATTATACAATACTTTGTGTTGGCCTGTCACATAAAATCCCAATAAAATACATGTAGGTTTGTGGTTGTAATGTGACAAAATGTAGAAAAATTCAAGGGGTATGAATACTTTTGCAAGGCACTGTAACTTTCCTTCTTGTGTGTAACTAATGTTTACTCTGAGCAAATGTTGTGCAATCATTGTAAAGGGATGTTTTTTAGCTTACAGAAGACAGGAAACTTTAGGTCAGGAAGTTAGGACATAGGCGATGGCTGATAAGAACACTTGAAGGGGACAAATGTTTGCCTGGCAGAACAAAGAGCAATAAAACTGCAATGAATAGTATAAGTAGCTCTCAAGGAGGTTCACTCCTTTGAGCTTACTGCAGCAACACTTTTGAGTAGCCGTTGTATGCTCCTTCTTGCAAGAATAATTAAAAAGATGCCTTGATAATTTTCAAAAGTCTCATTATTCCTTTATCTCATATGTTAATTTTTCTAACAATTTAAAAGACTAATTTTCTCCAAGATGACTCATAGCTCGAGGTTACTGCTTATCAGCTTACATACTTAATGGTCTTGTCAATCACTTCAAAAATAAGAATCACACAACCAGTGGTGGTTATTTATTTCTAAACCAATTAGATTATTTTTTGTAACTCTCATGAAACACTCAAGAAAAAAACTTACCTGCCTTTGATCTTGTGTCTGTTCCTGTCTCCCGTGAACTCAACGGGGCTTGTTACAGTCCTCTCTGCAGCTGCTGAAGCTACATTCATATCACTTCACAGCTCTCCCAGTCATGCAGCTGATAAGAACTATAAGCTTAAGTAGTAAATTATGCAATACTATATAAGTTATTATATATAATAAGACTTTTTAGTATTTGACAGTTATTAATAACTTGTATTACCAATTCATATGTTTCTAATATTTACTTCTTATACTTTGGGAGCCTTTTAAACTATGACCATGTTCAGGCACTTTTCTTTAAACCTGTATCAGTTTCATTTTTCAGATTGAGTGCGTGATGCATATTCTTCTGTATAGTCAATGCAATGACAACAGAGGGATGTGTTGCAGCAACAGAACTGATTGCTCTCTGTTCTACACTGAACACTGGAAATTGGACCATAGATAAAGTGAAAACATTTCTTGTTGGTGCACACAGCTCATGTGCCAGGTAGGGTCCAGATTTTGCTATAATTGCCTGTAGTAATGAAACAGCCAGCGGAGTGAGTCGTCGAAGTTTTGGGTTTCCTTCCACAGTCTAAAGTCAGGCAGGTCAGGTGAACTCCAAACTCTGATCTTCCTGTTAAGTGAATGTATTTGTCTTTCTCTATGTGTTATTGTTGTGATATTCTGGTGCACTCTCCAGTGTTTCTCTCTGCTTCTTTGTTAATGCATGCTCTGGTAGGCTCCAGCTGTGCAGCAACCCTAAGCTGGATAAAAATGGACAAATTGATGAAACTCATCGTTGTCAGAAAGTGATCAAATTGATGAGGTTGTTTGAGGACAGTGTTCTAGCAGAATGTTAGTGCTAACACACTGCAGAGGTTTTGGGGAGGTCAGTACTCTCTGTTTTTGTCTGTATAATTTTGTTGCAGCTGATCGCAGTGAAGATATTGGTGTAGTGAAGTGCTAAAAGGAAAATGACTTCTGGAGTGTGATGCAAATGTTTGTTCTGCATGAAATGTACACACTGCAGAGCCACATGCATGCGAACTGTGTTTTTGAGAAGTTGATTATTGAGCAGTTGTGGTAACTTCAGAGATTTTCTTCTCTGTGTATATCACAGGACCATAGTCACAAATCCTGTCAAGCTTCAACAAAGCTGATCCCATAGTCAGACCTCAGCTCTTTGGTGGGGGCCTTTATAGTGGTACACTGACACAAGTTAAGGAACTCTAGAGCTCTCCTAAAATATTTGCTCTTGTACAGTCTGGATGGCTAAATGCTTTATGTCACCAAGTGTGTAGTGATATAACCTTGGTACTACTTTCAGGGGGTTTATCTAAAATAGAGGTGGTTGATGTGGATGCATCTAACATGGTGAAAGTACAGACAGGTGAGAAATTAAAGGAAGACCCAATGTGAAGTGTCTCAGTAAGGTGATGGGCCACCGCGTGGCACCAGAACAGCTTCAATGTTCTTTAGCATTGACTCTCCAAGTGTCTGAACGGTACTGGAGGGATGAACACCATTCCTCCAATAGATATTCCCTCATGTGGTCTTTTGATGATGGTGGTGGAGACGCTGTCTGTAACACGTCGCTCCAACATTTCCCATAGGAGTTCAACTGGGTTGAGATCGGATGACTGTGAAACAGTTGCTGCAATGAAAATGTGCTGTAAAATCATGTATTACAAATGGCTGCACAGTGTTTTGTATCTGATAAGCCTTAAAATACATTGACCTGTTAATGAAACTGGACTGCTCAGTCTTGTTCTGTGATGTGTGTCACAGCACAGCACATTAGTCAGCTTTCTAATAACGATTAAATTAGTTGTATAGTCAGTGCTGAGTTTCCATCCATTTCCACCTAGAAAAACCAGTTTGACTGATGGCACTCTCCAGGCTGTGTTCATGATATAATCTGAAATACACTATGCAAAGTTTTCACTCAGTTGACACCAACACTAAATTGAAATCAAAATAGTCTTGAATTACACAGCACAAAAAATCCATTCAGTCATACACACACAAACAATTACACATACACACATGGTCTCAGGCAATTGCATGTGTACAAGCATGCACTGGCATGCAGGTTCAGATGCATAAACAGATGTAACCTCTCTGAATCTTTCGCCTGTGTAGTTACAGTTCACTTTGCTGCTAACTGAACTAACATTGAATGAGTCAGTAATGTAATGAGATCATTAATGTTTTAAATATCAGGCTATAGGAATAGTTTGAACTTACCAGAATTATGTACAGTTGAAAAGAAGAATATTCAAAGTATTGACCCTTCTTTCATGTAGCCATATGTCATCTTACAATGATGAACATGTTTATACAATGGTTTTGCTGAGCTTGTTACAGAGAAAGGCCCAGTTGGTGCAACAGCACTTTTACTCCCCTACCGGTGAGAGAAGAAACTTACACACACACACACACACACACACACACACACACACACACACACACACACACACACATCCAGTTCACACAGTAAAGGCCTTCATCTAAAAATGAAGATATGTCATTTACTGTACAGAGTGTAAAGCCCTTTGAGGCCAATTTGTGACTTTGAGTTGTACAATATAAATAACTGGACATGCCAATGACAAATCTAACTCCTCCATGCTATGTCAACAATCTTGTCCCCCTGGGCTGCAGGCATATTCTGTATTTTGCATTATGTAGACATGGTGGCCCATATCAAGAGGATGCTCTTACCTGTTAGGCAAAGACATAAAACCTCACACAGGTGTTGGGTGTATCTGGCATTCCAGTTGTGAACAAAGTGAAAAGTAAGAATAAATCTGACTAAAGCTCCATAGTGTTAGAAAAAACCCATTTCTTTTGTTGAAAGCGCAAGAAGTGAAGACAGAAGACGACTGTGTAAAATCAACAGGAAATTTCATCAAAGTGTGGGCACAGGTAAGACAAAACCACGCTGGGATCAGAGAGACAGAGCTCCCCCAGGAAATCCATTCTTTGAACCTCGAGTTATGGATTCTGGTTACATTTATCTTCTTGGGCGGAGACCCCCTCGTACAGGGGTTGGACTTACACGTATCTTACTTCTATTGGCCATAGACGTGAGCAGACCAACCTCTGCTTCACATCAGTTTACTGTACCTGTGTTAGAAACCAAATGTGTGTGAGTGTTGTGATTTTCAGGCGGTAGCTAGCAATGAATATAGAACAATTGGTTGTCTGCACTGCAGACCCTCTATCTGTATAGGCTATTACAGGACAAAAGCAGCCCTTGTGAATATGCTAAACGGGCCAGGTGGTCATCTCAGGTTGTAGGCCCCCTGTCTCTGCAAGATACTTCATGACAAAGCAGAACTTGGATTATACTAAGCGGGCCTATGTGAAGATGCAAAACCGGCCAACAGGTCTGTGTGTAGATGTAAATTAAGCCAGCAAGTCTGTGTTAAAATGTAAAATAGGCCATCTGGTTACTTGAAGGTACAGACTTCATGTCTCCACAAAAGTTACAGCATACTAAAGGCTAAAACCATTATAAAGCCTCATCCGGTTCTTTCAAACCAGGAACTCAGAGGGACGACTCAGACCACTTGAGTATATAAAAAATATATCCGTGCTGGTTTATTCAAAAAGTCACAGGCAAGAATCCACACTTCCAGTCCAGAGATCTTCCAAACCCCCAGCCTGCCAAAGCAGCCCGGAAGCAGGAAGACCCCGAACCAAGCATTGCTATACAATATTAATCCTTTCTGGGCTGTCGAACCGTGACGTCACCTGATAAGCAAGCCTTGCAGCTGCCATAACGTTTAGCCAAAACATGAGGAAAAGTCAAGGTGCGTGACTGTTGTTTTCGTGGTGTGTATCTAAAACAATTGGACATAACCTTACACATCCTGGGTAGGAATTCTGTAAGGTTGGTTGGCCATCTGATCAACCACTTTGGTCCAGATTGACATACAGTATCTATTCAAGAATTACACAGACTACCATTAGGGTTTGTATAGATATCTGTCTCAGAGGATGAACCTTGTTGGCTTTGGTGATCCAGTGACTTGTCCTGTGAGATTGTCAGGTCTGAACAAGGAAGGTCCCAAAGGGCAAAAACCAGACAGGTCAAAAGTGTCTTTCACAAGTTTATTTTAAAAGAGGGCGATAACTGAAAAACACAAACAAGAATATCAGAGCCTCAGGCTGGCCACACAGTCTTTAACAAAGGGAAAACAAAAAGCAAACCTTAAAGGTGAAGGCAGGGAGAGGCGTCCAGAGTCTTTGCGAGGCTGGCAGAGAGGAAAAGGAGCTGGCAGGCATAGAATGAAACTGAGGATGAAGCTGGCGGGCTGCGTGGGGCTGACGGGAGGAGAGTGGAGGACCGGGGAATGCAGGGCTAGAGAGTGTGGTGTTGAGGAACAGAGAGCTGAAGAGCCCAGGGCCAGGGAGCGGAGAGCTGGAGAGTGTCAAATTAGAGAATGGAGAACTGGAGAGTGCAGAGCTGGGTAACGAAAAACTAGAGCATCGCGTAGCAGGTAAGTGAAGACACAGGGACAGGTGGAGGCTCACTCAGCGTAATGGAGACGAGCAGGTAACAGGGCAGTAGCCGGTCAGAGTCAGCGTAGAGGACATGAGCAGGTTAACAGGCCAGTGGTGAGGAACAAGGGGGAGTAGTAGTCAATAAACCAGCCACTAACTGAAGGGAAGGGAGAAGTGTATAAGGGCTGGAGACTGGAGATAACGAGACAGGTGGATACAGTGACTGTTGATTAGACCGTTGGTAAAGCTGGGGTGGGTGAAATGGCAGAAACAAGAAGTACATAACCAAAATAAAAGCATGCTGGCCAGAAGCAGGTCCAAACCATAGAGATACTGTCTACTGCTGTAAACATTTAGAAGAAGGCATCCTGTGTTGGGCCATGCACTTGTGCAAGTGGCTGTTTTGTTTTCCCAGTGTACAAGTCATTACACTCCTGTCTACATTTAATTTCATACACCACATCACTCTGTTTGTGTCTGGTTATTTTGTCCTCCGGGTGGACCAGTTTCTGCCGAAGGGTGTTCCCTGGTTTAAAGTTGACTGGGACATTTTGGTTGTGGAAAATCCTTTTCAGTTTCTTTGATAAACCAGCCACATAAGGGATGGCAATGTTATCCCCTTTTGTTTCTGGTTTCTCCCTGTTGGTGTTGGGCCTCTTCCTTGCTTTGATGAAGGCCCACTTGGGGTATTCACAAACCTTAAGGGAAATCTGGATGTGTAGTTTCTCCTTCTTGATCCCTTCTGCAGTTGTGGGCACTTCCTGGGCCCTGTGATTTAGGGTTCTGATAACTCCCAGTTTCTGTTGAAGTGGATGGTGTGAGGCAAAAAGAAGGTACTGGTCTGTGTGTGTAGTTTTCCAGTATACTTCCACCTTGAAGCTTCTGTCTGCTCCTATGTGGACCACACAGTCCAAAGAGGCCAGACAGTCCACAGAGTGTGGATGACAACATCAAGTTCACTCTTGAGGATGCCAAAGATGACTATGGGATAAATACCTCCTGCTCATCACCAGTCAGACAGAATTGATGAAGCCTCTTGGATGAGAGGTGAAACGTCTTCTACCTAAAACTATGTCCAGATGCCTTCTGCTAAGTTTTTTCAGGATACTATGACCTGGATGACTGAGAATTTGCATGGACATATTACTGTGGGGTCATACTTATCACTGACTATCGATACTGCCAGGACATTTTGTTAAAAATATGTTCATGATTCATTCATTTTCTACCGCTTAATCCCTGAGCGGGGTCACGGGTGGGGCCGGAGCCAATCCCAGCCAGCAATCGGGCGAAGGCGGGGTACACCCTGGACAGGTCGCCAATCCATCGCAGGGCTAACACATAGACAAACAACCACACACACTCACACTCACTCCTATGGGCAATTTAGAGACACCAATCAACCTAAGCTGCATGTCTTTGGACTGTGGGAGGAAGCCGGAGTACCCGGAGAGAACCCACGCAAGCACGGGGAGATCATGCAAACTCCACACAGAAAGGTCCCAGGTTCCACACACTGCAGTCCCAGTTCTCCTCTCTCTGTGAATAGTAGGCAAACAAAAAAACAACAAACCTATGTAAATGTATACAGTGCGCACAATTTTGACATTGCTAAAACAATGACTATGAAGTTGAATTCACACTCTATGGCTCCTTTTTCTGTAGGCCTGTTTCTGCTCACTCCTGTTCTAATGGCCCCGACACCAGCCAGCATGTGCACAGCCTTGAAGACGCTCAACGACAGCCTCAGCCACAGGCGACGGTTTATGGTGAGAGAAAGATGTTTCCTACTATGTCTCAGAGAATGTGGAAGCACTTGTGCTGTTGCCCTCCAGATTTCTCAGTGTTAGTGTAAGGTCAGCGGTCCTAATGTTTGGAGCAGCTGGGAAAGTCAGTGGGAATGAATGAGCAGTACACTCCCACCCTCAACACCAGACATTAAGATTCTCTCATGGAAAAATGTGACAAATAAAATGATCCCCATCTGTGAAATTGGAGGAGTGCCTCTTTAAATGTTATTCTAATGTGCCTGACAGTAAAACTAGGGCATACACAACACTGATCAGCACTGTCCTTTATTCCACATACACACTATTTTGTTTGCTGATGGTTTAAAATATTGTGACAGATCTTATCTGTAGAGTTTGTCCAATGACAAACATGTTTGTTTGCATTACAGTAATGTTACATAGAAGAGATGTAGTTTTGTCACCGATGCACTGGTATTTTCGGTGTCTTGTCACCTTCATGTGGGCTAGAAACTCCATATGTGCATTACATAAATAAACAACCACTACTAATCCTATTTTGACATAACATATGGAAATGAGTTCCCTTATTGAAAGACTGACCCAGATGGAGACTTAATCCTTAATAGAACATGGCATATTTATGACTGCAGTGTGTGTTAATAATCTGTTTGGATATGTGTGATTTTGAAAAAAATTGCTTCTGTTTGCCAGGTTTGATAGTAAATCCCATACCCATTTTTTCTAAAACATAAAAAGGTTTTCTCAGGGTTCAGAGGGAGAGTTTAATTTATGAAATGGATAAATCATTTTGTTTCTCTTTTCTTTCTCTTTCCATTATAGAAACATAACTTACCCATCAACTACACCATCAGGGTTCATCAAAAGGAAATCTTTAGACTGTCAAACATCAGCAGACTGGTAAAAGTTGTGATAATCTCATTGCTCTTTTTGTGAAGTAAAGCTTGATTTATTGCCTCTGCCATCACCAGGGAGGTGATTCCTTAGATGGTGCATTTTAACACCATCACCATTTTAAACTCCATCTTAAACTAGTTGTCTCTCAATGCCTGTGAAATTACATCACAAATTAAATATACCTCCAACTACACCTGACCTTCAAGAACTGCAGATTATACACTGTAGAGTACCACACAGAGTTGTGTAGACAATGTAATATATGGATAATTCTTTGCTTCTTAACATTTGTTCTCTCTCCTCTTCTCTTCTCTTAGAGGTTACAGGTGAAGGAGTTGGATGAGCTGGTCCTCCAGAGGCTGTGGTTCCAGGTCAACCAAGGCGTGTTAAAAAAGGTAGAAATATAGTTTGCATAAAGATACAATTTATCATATTTTGTCCAGAAACAACGAGGACACAGTGAGAGCAGGGACATCCATAATTGTTCAGTTTTAAATGCTTAAACTGCAAAAAATGTATCTTCTTTACAAAACATTACTTAGTAACATTTTGTCCAGGCTTGTTTAGCTCTCTCTACTACCAGCAAAGTTATGCAATTTATACTGTGTGCATCATTGTTGGTAACAGAAAGCATGGGTTGTCACTGGGAGATCTTTCTGCTGCTTTTGACAGCTGTTAAAAAAAGGGTCATAAATGCTATCAGACAGTACCATGCAGCTGTGCAACACAAATAAAACACTTTTCAGTTAGGATGAACTTTCTGGTGCTGCACAGTGGAGCTTGATGTATCATAAGAATGGTACTAGTATTTAGTCATGTAAAACACAGACATTTGCAGTCTCTCTATTAATGTTAATTTTTGTTGCATATAGAAGTGAACATTGTACGCAGGCCCAGGGCTTATGTTTAAGTTGATCCACCTTGTCCCCTAAAACCCTCACAGAAACACAGCGTAGCAGTCAGATTAAGTTAGTCAGAAAGATGTGGATAAATACCTGACACATCAATTGCTACAAAGCCTAAGGTTTTATGTGAGTCTGTTAGTACATCCCATGAAATACACCATTTACTGTACAAATCTCCACATTTCCAGTTTTGAACACTTGCAATGTATGTGCATTCATACATCACCAGTAAACAAGTACTGTACAGTATGTCTTGCTTCTGAAAGTTCCAACACCCTTACGTGACGCTTTGGGGGCGGCTGTGGCTCAGGAGGTAAAGTAGGTTGTCTCCTAACTGGAGGATTAGCAGTTCAATTTCCAGCTTGTCCAGTCAACATGTCAAAGTGCCCTTGACCAAGTCATTGAACCCCCAGTTGTTCCCGATGATGACACTGGTCTGTGAGTGTGAATGGCCAAGTAGTGTGAGTGTGCTGCAGTTTATAGAAAAGCACTATACAAGACCATTTACACTTCATGCCCACTCAACCTAATGACGGACCTGTATTCACTCACTGAGTTGCACATTTGTCTAATGTCACACCAGGCCAGCTGTTGGCAGCAAAAAGGTGGTTTGCTGACCACCAATAATCACCAAAAAATGGAGCTTGAATGCAAAAACTCAGAAACCATTTTGATTTAATTAATATATTGTTTTTATTGCTCCCATGAACTTGTTCTATATCTGAAAATTTTGGAAAATAAGCTGTGTTTGAGTGAGGGGCCATCTGTTTGTCTGAGTGACAAGACCTCATTTACATAATTATGTTAGTCTACATGGAGAATTTGCCTACCTTTTGCCTGTGGGGCGCACAACCTGAGAGCATGACCCTGCATGCCTCAGATCTGATGTAAGGATGTTTCTCTTTGTCCCTGCCTCAGGGGAAGCCACTCCCATGAGGCTGGTGGGTGTGTTAGTGGCTTCAGCTCATAGGCCTCTTCTGTCTTTGGCCAGCAGGTCAAGGTTTATTTTATAGGGTAAAGGTGGATGGCACCACTGCAACTATTCCAAAACAAAAACTCAAACACATTCTTCTCTCTGGTGTGTTTGTTAGGGTGCGCTCGAACACAGAGTGAGCGAGCAGATAAAAAGCGGACTCAGGTGGCTGGCTTCGGTGCAAGCAGTGAGGTTTATTTACAGTGAAGGTAGTGACATATATACAGGAGGAGTAATGAGGTAGATGACCGGGTGTTGATCAGCAGCAGCAGAAAAACAGTCAGTGGTATGGTGGATGATGATGTACCGGGCGGGGGTCCAGAGGAAAGGTCCGAAGAGGAAGAAGACACAAGAGACAGCAGGGCAGGATAACGACTAGGGTGCTAACAAGGACTAGAGAGAACAAAGACAATCTTAGCATAAACTCAACTAAACAACATAACAACCACTGGCCTGAAGACAGAGAAAGAACTGGCAGGGGAGTGACTGGTGAACAGTGTATAAGTATGGAGGAGACTAATGAGGTGCAGCTGGTGAGTAATCAGGGAAGCAGGGCAGGTGTGTTGAATAGTGTAATCAGTGCAAGGGCTAGGCTAGTGTGAGGAAGAAGAAGAGAGGAAGGTGGAGCTGGGCAAACCTGACAGTGTTATTTACATGACCAGGTTGGAGCGTCAGATTTCTTCCCACACATACAATCTAATCTACCAAAATACAAAACTTTTCTGAAACCTTAATTATACCAGGCACATGCTTTTTTACATACAAGTAGAAACTTGACTGCTTGCAAAAGGTGGGTTTTGAGAAAACCTCTCTTTCTTTCACTTATCTTCTGCCTCCACACTGGTGACAGCCGTGGCTGGAGACATTATGTTTTTGGGTTGACCATTCGGCCATCACGTTCTCGTGAACGTGATATCTCAGGAGCGCCTTCTTCAGATCTGACACAAACATCCACTTGGATTCAAGAACAATGTGACAAAGCTCTCTGTCAGTCCTTTGTAAAAGTAGTCTCCAAGTGAAGAGCATGTTTCTCATGGGGAATGATTCATTACAATCATACATGTCCATAGAGTGATTACTGCCATGTTGCCAAAAAAATACACTATGTTTTTTTATTAAATTCCTTCAAAAAGTCTTTACTACATATATTATATAAGCCTAGACAGACATGCATGTAAACTGCAACTACACTGGCTGGCGATGGCATACAACCCCAAGGCAGTGATTCTAGTTTCAGACTAGACAGTTTCATTAATGTTTATATGAGTAACATGTAATGAGTTTTCAGTTCACATCTACATAATATAGTTTCTCAAAACTAAACTGTTAAATGTAGATAATTTCATTATTAATAACATTTCATTATCATTCAAATATAACTTGTGAATTTCAGTCCTGCATTTGATGAACCAAGTCTTCAACAGCTTATTTAGTTGTCTTGTAATACTGTATATTAAAGACTAATTGCACTTGTAGATCATCCGAGTTCTGCCAGAGAGACATCTTTCATATCAATACACTCATACATTGGAAACACTCTTCAGGGATGCTGAGGGAGTCTTTGTACAGTCGCATCGTGCTGAGGTAAGACTGAGCTTCAAATGAAGCCATTTGTCTGGTAGGTGACTTTCCAACACACTGTAACGGTGTTTGACAGGAGATGAATGTCACACTGATTTGTCAAATAGGAATGAATGTCTTTATCATTAGAAAATTTAATTAAATTGTGTTCTTTTTTATAACATCCTATACATGCACATATTGACCTTTCATAACTGCCATATTTATCACATTTTAAAAAGCTCACAATGAATGTTTTTTTGATGCTGGTTCACAGCTGCTGTTTTAGTTCTCATGAGCTACTGGCATTGTTAGATGCATATCACACCATGGAGCCATTACTCTGTCACATTTAGGCTGCCTAGCTGTCCCTCACTCATGTGTGTTTCTCTGTGCATGCTGTCGTCTGTGTGTCCAGATTTTCCAGCAGGAGCTTCCAGAGACTATCCAGGACATTTGGGATTGTTTAACAGAAGAGCCTGACAGAGTGTCAGAGTCCAGCTGGCGATTTGCTTCTCCAAAATTCCTTCTGGACAGTTTTTGCCACACCATGTACTGCCTCTTCAGTGAATGCTTTGCAAATGCTGAAGCACCACAGGACTGTGAGTATAGCAGATGCAATGTGTGACAGTGCAGGCAGCTGACGACTCAGAATTTAAAGAGCCCTGTTTTTTAACATAACTATAGCAGAATAATAAAAACTAGCACACAAACAGGTTAGGCTGCGTAAAGAGTTGTCATTTTAAAGCAAAGACAACCACTTCATAAGAAGGCATTGCAGTACATTCAAGGACATTCCAGTATGTAAGAATCCTGATGTCAAAGAGCTATTTGTTTTTCCATCTGCATTATAGATCAGACAGTGGCCAAGACTAAAGCAATGATCTGCCTCATATGAGGTCAGAAACTGGGTGAATCTGTTGTTGTGGATGTGCCTTTTTTCCCATGTGCACATTTGTCATTCAGGAGCCAAATGTGTCAGATTAGATTTGACATAAACACATTTTAGTTGACAGTAAGGGTAGTACACACCTGTTATTTCTTTTTTTATTTTGTTTTGTACCTTTACTATGGAGGATGTTGTGTAAGTTGCCTCTTTTCACTGACATTTGGATTTCTACTTTCCAAAAACATGAACACACACACACACACACACACACACACACACACACACACACACACACACACACACACACATTTTTATTATAGCACTGGAAAATATCAAAATGAGTAAAAATAAGTAAGAAATCACCTTTGTGCAAAAGATTTTCTTTTGATTTGTACTTTCAGTTTTTAGTTTGGTTCGTGTCCTGTCCACTAAAACGGAGGAGGCGGGATTTATGTCCTATACAGTGACTGCATCTATCATGAAAACAGTGCTAAACTGTTATGTGTCACATGTGGGGTTTGATACCAGACCCATGCAAAAAGGATTCAGTGAGGCAGTCAGCATCTAAAAACCTTATTATCTTTTTAATGTGTTATTTCCTAATATTAATTGGCATTGTGCTGCAATAGCACACAGACTGTCAAGTAGTGGCTGTCAGTAGCCAACACTTGACATGTGTAGAAGATGAAAAGATGAGCAGCAAGACATCGCTGTCCTTCTCAGCTGAGGGAGGGGTCAATACATGTAGCTGATGAGTTACATTGTTGTTTTTGTTGACCAAAATGTAGGATTGGTCTACACTTGACACAGTGCAGGGAACATCTGCTTCTTTTGGATAAATCCACTGGAAATTAGTGGTTCTGTTTGTTGTACATGTGATTAATTTGTGTAGATTCTCTACTAGGAAGCAGTGAATGAAAAAAGTCAACACATACAGTCTGCTAAAAACTACTTACTAGCCTGCCTCAAGAATCAAGTTACAAACCTTTTATACAGGAAATCCTCATATGATATTCTCTGCTTACAGTAATATATTCACTATGCATCTGATGCTGACTGAATAAAGCACACACACTGTGTACTCAACATCAGGCTATTTGTGAATCAACTATGAGAGAAATCAAGGTGTAAATGTTAATCAGTTTCTCTTTATTTTTCAGACTGTCATATTTCCTATTGGAGGAAAGGCAGGAAGAAAGACTTACAGCCCGAAAGCTGAGAAGAAACCAGCATCATTATCTTCCTTGAACTATAGTGAGAGGGGAACAGTCCACCCTGAAGCATCAATAAGTCTTTCCAAAGTCTACCAAACGGAGCCAAAATTGTCTTGATGGCATGGTGAACCATGGCAGACTGAAATTGAAAGCACAAAAACAGTATTCATGGTATTTTTGTGAGGCTATAGACATTATGCTAAAAGGAAATGAAGCTCTTTTGAGAGTAAAAACTCCCAAGATTTTCCAATCCTATGTAAAGACAGGGTAAACGAAGTATTGTTTAGGACTGACACTCTGCTACTTGGGTTTCTTGTATGAAAAAGATTTGTTCATGTTCACACATGGTATCTAGACTAAAGTGATATATGATAAATATTTTAGATACAATCTTTTCTATGGTGAATCCTTTCAGAAGGAGTGTGCAGTGCAAGCTGCTAAATCCTCATCAGTGAAATGGATAACTTCACCTGGAGTGAAGGCATCACTGTGGCTTTGCCAAACCTCTGGGCAAAAAGCCTGTGATGTGCTCTCGTGGTCCTGCACAGATCACCTCAGAGATCGACAAGAAGCAGTACAAAAGACTGTGCATACAATGGTTATTATATTATGAATCTTCTGCTGACTTTGTACCATAGCCAGACTTCTATTTTATGAATGCCTCTTTTAAACATTTATGAGCTAGAGCAAGAGCAATGTACATGAACTGAACTTCAAACCTAAAGGCAAACTGATAACTGCTGTTTCCTCCATCCTCTGATGACTATGCATTTACATTTACTATGCATTTACAATTTACAGGCCCACATCAACAATGGTTTTTGACAGAGAAACATAGGGAAAGGCTGTTCAAACACTTGCTATGGCCCAATAAAGTGAAGCTGGTCAGTCATTTAATTTATGGTGCGACCTTCCCTTATCCCATTACTTTATTTACACAGTAGTTACCAGAGTTGGTTTTAAGAATACACTCAAAATCATGTGCCAAAAGGAATTAGGAGTACTCATCATTTTTGTGTGTAAAATTCATTAAGTTAAATTGTTACTGGTGTTCTTTATGATTTGAGGTTTAATAAAAAAAAAAGTATAAATGCAATAAAAACATATAGAAGTGTAATTTACACTACTTTAAATGTTAGTTACAGCATCTGACCCAAATTAAATATATAATGTGATGTTTTACTCTTAAGCTATTGGTCTTGTAGAAACTTTGGTTACATGGGTCTGAAAGGAGCTAACTGACAGTTTTAAAATATCTTAAGGGGCTAAACGTGGTCCTGATATGCAAAAGAGACTTCATGATAATATTATAGATGAATGAAAATTTGAGTATTACTATTAATGCAGTAATAGTATTTTTGTTATAATGTATCAATCATATGCAGCTATGGCTGTCCCATTTTTAAACATTAGAGAATTTTAAGGTGTTTCCCTTATTGTGAACAAAAAATTATATTTCCCACAGTTGACTGGCGACAGCAGAGAGATGATAACTGTAAGCACGTGAATGATTGTTGTCTGTGGTGTATAGCTTTTAAAAACAGATTTTTCTATACACTAGGTACAGAATTTATTTATTTTTTATGTACAATGTTACAGTACATGACAAACCTTTTATGAAAGAAATAAAAATGTAATTGCTATTTTTATCAACTACCTCTGTGTCCAGAGTCCAGTTATTATTAAAGTCCTTAATATTATTATTATTTGTCATAAGAAAAGACAGGTCTTTCAATCTAGCTTTGGTTATATTATTTCTCTAAATATGTAGTGTATTGTTTAGCTATCACATATCTTAGTAAAGACCATTAAAGACATGCAAAGGCCTGCAGGTCCGTATTGGTATGAGTTGTATTTCCAAACACGAGTTCTATAAAGGTTGGATAAAATAAAAGTTAAAGACAGAATTATGCATGCACCCAAAATGTCTTCTACAGGTTACAAAAACACATATGAAAACAATGCATGATATAACCAAACCTTAACAGTATCAGGAAATACATAAAAATATTTATTTAGATCTTGTAACTGTATTTAAAATTATGCAGTAATAGAAAGTTCAGTACATTATACTGGTTGTTGTTGATTATGTATTTCCTTAAATGAAGTAAAAGTAGCATTTAAAGCATCATCATCTGATATATTAACATATGGAAAGAATTTTAATGTTTGGGCATGAAATACTCAAGCGCAGATACCCCAGTATGGTTCTTATGTATGGTAGTTAAGTGCATGTATTGGACTACTTTCCATCACTGGAAACAGATCAGCATGTCAAATTCAGATAATACAAAAGATAGGAAAAGAGCATCAAATGGGATTCTGTTTGAAACGTTTTCCACAACAGCGTTATGCGATAGCGTATTTTTTGTCCCTCTTTACTTATCGTAGTCTATCCAGCGAATACAGGAAGTCAAGAGAAAATGTTCAATTTCAGGACGAAATGTAGTGTAAAAATGAGCGGGGAAGCCACAGCAGCCATGTTTTGCGTTTAGAAGCATTATCTTTAAACATGTTCATTTATTTATCCTGTGGTCTGTAATTATATATCCAATGCGTCAGTGATAATTTTATTTTGAAAGTACTACTCGGAAGTCATATTTACACTTGCTCATTTGAGTGTTAGATAACGTATTTGTTTGTAGGAGTAGTTGTGTGATTTTGGCTTCTGGAAAACCTCGGACAATGAGCTTCGGTGGCGGAATTCAGATACCGATCCGTCTCCCATTGCTCCTGACCCATGAAGGAGTGCTCCTCCCGGGCTCCACCGTCAGGTTTAGTGTGGATTCTCCGCGGAACATGCACCTGGTCAGCCAGCGACTGTTGAGGGGGACTTCGGTGAAAAGCACAATCATAGGAGTGATTCCCAATACCAGAGACCCAGAGAGTGACACCGACGAGCTCCCCACTTTGCACAAGTAATGTGAATTTAGTCATATAGCTCTATAGAAAGTGAACAACCGAGTTCACATTTCCTTAGCTGGATTCGGTTTTGGAGGTGTGAGAGCTAGAGAACAGGACACCAAACCCCACGGTCGGGACCTACACTGCATACTTGTATCTCTTCAAGCCTCGAGGGATGTTCATATCACAATGTGAAGGGGGAAGACCACTCACAGACTATTGTTGGTTAGATTTTATACCTGTATTTTGTTTTCTGCAGTGCCAGACCCAACAGTGGAAGCCACTGACCCAGGTCTAGTTTTAGGAGATTAAGTATTATTGCTTTTCACTGGCAAGGCAAGAGTATCTAACACCTATCAAACGGCATTTTTTATTTATTAATCCTCTGAAATGACTGCCAGCTTTACGTACCATAATAGAGCTAAATTGGTATTTTTGTGTTCTGCACATCCTGTTATTTTTGACAAACGTTGCACTCTGTGATTTGTTATTGAAAACTACAGTTTACCAGTGGCCCTGCAGTCAAGAACAGTCTGCCACAGAGAGGTGGACTTTAACCTTTCCTCTGTAGTCTGCCAGGCCAGTCTGGTGACAAAGTAGCACGTTTGTCTCTCTACCAGCCACAGTTACTTGAAAAATCAGTTTCTGAGTTCACTCTAACTAAAATCACTTTTGTAGAAAATCCAACACTAAAGAGGAAAGATATTGGCTCAGGGTATAATTGCCCTTGGATAAAGTACTGAACATGGCACTGGTGTGGAGCCTGCCGCTGCTCTACGTTAGCTCAAATTTCAACAGTTCCTTACATAATTTAAATTAAATGGACTCCACACTAAAATAGCAAATGCTCCCTATATTGACAATAGCAGTAAATTGTGGTTCCCTCACAATGAGAAGTGTTTTGACTCTTTTATATTTAGATTATCAAGGCCCACACTGCATGTCTTTACAAACGTCAGCTCCACACATTGTCCTGTAGTGGACCACATGACTTAGTCTAGCTTGTTTTCCTGGAAATCGCTTTATCATTTGTGTGTTGCATTGAGTGTGCACTGAGGAAAATCAAAAACACTGAAGACAGCGGTGGATGAAGTGATGAAAACATGCAGAAGATGGCTTTGTAGTTATATTTTGTCGATAATGTAAGAGCGCTTCATAAGAAATAAACCCGTGAATCATTCTGTCTCACTGTAAATAACATTGAAAAAAATTAGGTTTATTGTATTTAATACATAATATAGTAATGGGGCTTTGCTGAGTGACAATTGACAGCAGGGCTGATGATTGTTTTCATTATAGATTAATTAGCCAATTCTCAATTAGTTGACAAATCATTTTGTCTCTAAAATGAGTAACGTAGTGAAAAATGCATGTTATAATTTACTACAGACTGAATTGGCTTTGTCATTTGTGTAGTTTTGTTCAGTCAACAGTCTAAAACACAAAGATACTCAGTCAGCGGTGATATAAAACAAAGAAAAGCAGCAAATACACTCACCAGTTTATTACGTACACCTGTACAGTTGTATGCACTTCATTGCAGCTCTTCCACCTTAACATCTGTGCTTATGAAACGCAAATTGTTTCAGTTTTTGGTGAAATTGTCATAAATTTATAAATTCAATTATATGTTTATTATTGAGGTTATACAAAACTACATTATATTCAGAGGTGTCTCTATCCCCTTCAGCTACATACATGAGAGGGTCTGAATATTAGGAACATGTAATTTATAAATTGATGACAATTTTACCAAAAACTGAAACCTTTTGAGCTACATAAATACTAATGTTATGTGGAATTGTTGCATTGAATTGTATCCTCTCACCCTGCTCACAAACTGTTTGACCTCCTGCCCTCTGGGAGGCGCTTCAGGAGCCAAAACCAGTAGACTCAGGAACAGCTTCTTCCCCACACCTGTCCCCTTACTGAACTCTTGCCCCCACTGACCTCTGCTGCCTTCCTCTGTACCACTACACACACCTCACCCCTTCTAATCTCTCCTCCCAGGACTAATGCAATACACTTCTGTTACCTGTAATACTGAAGTGATCTATTAATTTACACATACTCACAGAATACTGCTTTTATTCATTTGCACACTGTTAATGTGCAGATACTCCATATTTATCTTCATCTTTGCACTATTTACATCCATTGAACTGTTCACTCATGTAACTTATCCTCTTATTCTGCACTGTTTCATTCCATCTCATCCTTTTGCACTAGTGTTCCATAAGCTTAATGTACCTGTAATTTGAATCCATAGTCTGTTGTATATCGTACATTATCCTACATATCTTGCTGTAAATGTCAGTTGTACACATCGGTAAATTAGTTCTGATTGTTCATACTGTAGATACTGCACACTCTTCACTGTTCACTGTTATCACACTTCTGGTTAGATGCTAAACTGCACTTTGTTGCCTTGTATGACAAGAAAGTTGAATCTGATCTAATCTAATCTAATCTAATACAGTTGTACAGGTGTACCTATTAAAGAGACCAGTTAGTGTACATTGGAGAAGCTTGAACTGTGAAGTGTGAATGTGTTTGATTAAGGAAGTACTGTAGTTGGAGATTAATATTTTATTAACTGATTAATCAACTAATCATTGTCAGTGTTTGTCTGAGATTCAAATTAGGGACTTCCACACACTACACCACACCTGCTGCTTATAATGACCACCACCGCAGGTCTTTGAGATCCCCCAGTGGGATCACAGGTGTGCAGCTTCAATCTTTAGAAACTTAAAGCAATCATGGAAGATTAGTTAGCTATCAAAGGAAGCATTTGAGGCTTAGGAGAGGATGAATTTGTCTCATGCTTACATTCTGTCTCTGTCCTTCTGTAGAATTGGTACGGCAGGGATAGCAGTGCAGGTGGTGGGCAGTAACTGGCCAAAGCCCCACTACACCCTCCTCATCACTGGATTGTGCCGCTTTAGTGTGTCCAGTCTGCTGAAGGAACGACCCTTTGTTCTGGCAGAAGTAGGACTTTTATTTAATAATAGACCTTTTTTATTTAAGATAAGCAGTCACACGAGTGAATGTCATACAGCTAAAGAATATTTTCACTCCTCTCAAGCTTCAAGCCTCTTTAACCCTCTTGATGCCAACAGGAGTAGTGATGTTCCAGTGTACTGACGCACCCTGGAGTACACTTTATTCTCTTAACATGCAGCTTTTGGGAGTGATTGCACAGTTAAATAAACTGTGGATATTTAATGGGCACCTAAACCTAAAACCCAAAACTTCCTCTCAGTAATGCCATTGCAGAATTTTAAATTGTTCATGATATTCATTAGCCTCTCTTTGATATCCTGTTGGTTTACACTTTCAAATGATCTCCCCATATCATATCCCACTCCACTCCTTTGTTTATCAGCATCCTCACATCTTCAAAGGAGGAGGGGAGATTGGTTTTGGTTGATGTAAAAATTAGGGGTGCACCGAACTTTCGGCCACCGAAAACTTTCGGCCGAAAAGGCCATTTTTATTTCGGCCGGAATAAAAAAAAACACGCCAAAAATGCCCCGCCCTGCCCCGCCCATCCTCGCGCAGCACAGGTTAGGTTTCACTCACGCTGGAGCTGTTATATCACGTGTCTCCCCATCAACGACAAAGCATGTCAGCGGTATGGAAGCATTTTGAAGTTTCAGGTTAAGACACCAAAGTTGCAATATGTAATATTTGTTCTGCTAAAATATCAAGAGGAGGCACAGTGCCAAAGAACTTTTCAACAACAGGTTTGATACACCACCTGAAAACACGACATCCAATTGAATATGAGGAGTACC